AAATAGACATTACGCTACCAATGCCCTTTTTCCAAAAAATTCTAGCAAAAAGCGCGGAAAATTTTGAAATTATGTAACTTTCGAGAAAAACACCTTGCCCCCCCACTTCCTCTTCTGCGCCGTTGCGTTCACACCGCCCGTTGTTGGCCACTGTCGCGCTATGGTACGGCCAGACCTGCTATTACAAGCGGTGCAACGTCTAAAGATTAATTTTGTACCTCTGCAAATAATTAAGCAATTAAAAAATAACAGTATCTTTTTTCAGCTTTATGGTTACTGGCCTCGATGACGCAGTATGCCGTATTAACAAATAACAGACTGACACCTGATGATCATCTTCTTCTCCTTACTCCAAGATTGGTTCATTTGACTTGTTCGGATTCTACCCAATTCATTTCTATAAACGATTCATCTGTCTTCTAACTCGCGTTCTACGCATAAAACGATGCTAAGAATGCTGTCGATCCCATGTAACGAAGTCTTCCGCCCTTCACTCGCTGAGCCAGAGAGATAGCTATTTTGCCATGCATTGAACATTAATTTTCATCTTATTTTGCCCTTCGCATTCGTGGCCTGTAGCTCCTATGGCCGAGAGAGGACAAATCGCATAGTCGAGCTTGCGAGCACAACTTGCCAGGGACAAATGAGCCTTCAGCAACGAGATTTTCATTCGTAATAGAATCCCAACAAAACGCATTTTTCGCCGCAAACTGATCGACTTGCGGGGTAGAATCCCCCACCTTGATCGCTTGCGGGTCGATCCCCACTATGATCGACGTGCTGCAATCCCCCACTTGACCGACGTCGCTGGTCATCGCCCCACTTGATCGACGTGCTGGCGTCAATCACCAACTTGTTCGACTTGCCGGTTCATCCCCCACTTGATCGACTCGCCGGTCGTAATCCCCACTGACTCGGACTCGCCGTTCGATCCCCACTTGATCGACTTGCCGGGTCGTTCCACTTGATCGACTCGCCGGGTCGATTCCCACTTGAATCGCTGCCGGGTCCGATCCCCCCACTTGAGTTCGACTCGCGGTCGATCCCCCACTTGATCGACTCGCCCGGTCGATCCCCCACTTGATCGACTCGCCGGGCTCATCCCCCACTTGATCGACTTCGCCGGTCGATCCCCCACTGATCGACTGCCGGGTCAATCCCCCACTTATCGACTCGCCGGTCATATCCCCACTTGCATCGATCGCCGGGTCATTCGCCCACTTGATCCACTCGCGGGTCATCCCCACTTTGATCGACTCGGGGTCGGATCCCCCACTGATCGACTTGCTGTCGATCCCCCCTTGATCACTTGCTTGGTCGATCCCCACGTTTGATCGACTCGCTGGGTCGATCCCCCACTTGATCGCACTCGCTGGTCGATCCCCCACTTGATCGACTCGCTGGGTCGATCCCCCACTTGATCGACTGCGGGTCGATCCCCACTTGATCGACTGCTGAGTCGATCCCCCACTTATTCGACTTGCTGGGTCGATCCCCCACTTGATCGGACTTGTGGTCGATCCCCACTTGATCGACTTGCTGCGGTCGATCCCACTTGATCGATTGCTGGGCGATTCCCCACTTTATCGACTGCTGGGTCGATTCCCCACTTAATCTACCTGCTGGGTGAATCCCCACCTGAACGACCTAGATGGATCCGATCTCGCACTTATTTCGATTCTACGTGATTTCCGTGTAATAATACCTACTCCTTTATCAATCCTACAGACTGCAATAATAAATCTGGCTATACTTATGTTGAAAATTCACTAATAGCATATCTATTTTTAATTACTTCAATCTTAATATACTTAAACATATGCGCATAATTAAAGTATATATCCTCCCTCTCTTTCTAATACTCTCGTCACTTCTAGTCGTGCAAATTATGTGCAAAGACAAAGAGAGAGCATTTAATTTCGCAACAACTACAAACACTACGCAAAAAACGCCCAAATCATGTACTTTTATGCAGACCCGGTAGTAACTCTTCGATTGCTATGAGAAAACATGGCTGCCAGTGCTGCCAGTGCAAAATCGCTTCACACAGGTGCGCTGCATTCGTTCGCTCTGTAATGAACTGGCCTGGTGAGCGCTTCGTGTCCTCGACGGGCCGTTGAGGTTTGCAGGCTCGCCGCGCGCGCGCCACCCGTTGACACCGCCACGTGGCAAGCAGCAGTACATGCTTCCGGACGGCGCTGGAAGACCTGTGCGCAGAACCACAACGTAAGCGGTGTCGACAACCAACTGGGCTTGATGTGGCTTTCACTGATGCGTCCTATCACCACGATATAGGCCCACACCGCTTTAAAGGCGCTCTCTCTGCACCTTTACGATGTTTGCGCTTTCCATAGACGAACCGGCGCGTTTGATTGATTATTGATTCGCGTTCGACTTCTACTGTCATTATTCCCATACGTGTAGTTTTGCCTAGGAGTGGCGGTGTCTTTTCCCACAGAACGACAGAGATCCGACGCGACCCTACCGTCAGTATTAAGTGGGTTTCCTACGTTATCTCCCACCAGTGGGTACCGCCCCTGCCGGAACAAGTCCGGTGACACAAGTCTCCCGTCATGATGTAGGTAGTTGTAGTGCATGTTGGTGTAAGTGTGTGAAGTACGGACGAGAATATGACAAAGAAGAGGAAGGAAAGGATCGCGCGCGGTCCGCTAGCCCGGTGTTAGGGTACTACTCCGGCATTCGTCTGGTGTGGATCAGAGAGAAACACGTGAGAGTATCGATAAGACACCCGGCCTGCGACAGCGGCTAAATTCTGTCTAGCCATCTAGCAAGAGTCGAAAATCGAGCACTTGCCACCGTCAGGACGTTTCCAACCCTGGACCTTCCCGGTCAGATGGCGTCGGGCAAAGAGTAAATAAGTTGAGGTTGCCGATGAAACCGGCGCCGTGTAGGGCGCTTCTGCGTCATGTTCTTGCTTAAATGAGGACGGCACTTCATCCTACAAAGGGTAGCTCTCTGCGATTGATTGAATAAATGCGAAGCGGTCCTTAGGAGCACAGCTTGACTGCACTGTGTGTTGGCTGTGTTCACTGTTGGCGGATGTAAAAACGATGGACCCTGCATCCATTTACTTCACGACGTAGAACTTATCTTTTCTACGTTCCCATTTCCTATACAACACATACAGTTACACA